GATGCTGCTTGGCCTGCTGTGTTCATCCAGCTCTACACCTTGTTATCTCCTTCTGAACCAGTCCTGCCACTTCCAAGCAGCATTGTGACTGTACTTACACAACGTGGACTGCAAGAAGCAAGTTCACCACCACCTCCTCAACAGCAATTATAGATAGACAGAAAAAACTACACCAATAATTTCCGGATTCAAAAAAAACTGCTCCATGCCTTTGTCTGTAAGAGACCAACGTGCTGCCCACACCACACTCTTAAAGTCAAAGACTTGCAGTTACAGCGCCTTTCAGAACTATAAGCTATCAGTCGCAAAGCACTCGGCCAACGAAAGTTGTTGCATGTTGTGGGAAACAAAAAGTTTATACAACTGACGGAGGCCTTCATATTCCCAGGGCTCGAAAAGAAACAGGTCACGCACGGATTAAAGCTCCTGTGCCTGCCCAACATAAATATTGCCATATAAGAGTTTTTGTGGAGCAGTGGCAGTGATCCTATCTTTGGACCAGAAGGTCCAGTTTTAAGTCTAGAATGAGGATCTGATGAACAGTTAGCAGTGTCGCGACATATCCAGATACATTGGTTTAAGAGATCGCATCGCGCATCCATGGGCCGACAGTGCTGATTTCATGGGACAACAAGGTGCAGAGCTGGATGAACACAGCAGGCCAGTAGCATCAGAGGAACAGGAAAGCTGACGTTTCAGGTCGAGACCTCTCTTCAGAAAACTATCCAACACTATTTCAGCAAGAAGACAGGTACCTCAGGCATGTTCTACTCTTCCAAACATATACAAACAAGAGGTCCCAAAGTTTTTGAAGAAGGGTCTAGACCCGAAACGTCAGCCTTCCTGCTGCTCTGATGCTGCTGGGCCTGCTGTGTTCATCCAGCTCTACACCTTGTTATCTCAGATTCTCCAGCATCGGCAGTTCCTACTATCTCTAGGGCTGATTTAATATTCTATCTTCTTGAGTTCCTTCGATCTATTGTCATGAAGCATTTTTTCATTTATAAAACAGCTCTAACGCATTTCTTAAAATCACAATTACATTCAAATACGTTAATTTGCTCTTTCGATATCGATAGTTCTATATCCGAAACCCTTAACACCTATTATCAAACAGTCTGCTTGAAGGACTTGTTTATAATCAATCAGCAGAACATAAAGATATTCATCTAAACTTGACGGTATAAAAAGCTATCTACAACAAACATTGTGTATAACTTACATTATGTCTCAATTTTGTTCAGTCTTAATACGATACAACGTATCCCAACTCTGTGCAACCAGGAAGACAAACTGCTCTGTAGCCCGCCCAGAACTGCGTGAAACTCCTATTGAAACTCCCGTTTCCACGCCGTCACTTGTATCTGGGCAGAAGAAGCATTTACAAGTTAGAAATAACGACCGCGCCTGAAACGAGACAAAACCCTAATCCGATTTAAATTTCAACGGACGGTATTGGATTGATCTCAAGGTTTGTGTGATAAACAAACCTGAGTGAGTCCTCATTGTTTGTCAGGCGCAGAGTTTATTCCAAGAGCCCTAGTGATCAGACATATACAGGATGTGAAATGTGTTCCTACAGTAGTTTGTAAATAGATGGTGACCAAGTGCAAAAGCGAATTACAAAGTGCGCACCTCCCGAAAGAGAAACGAAACCGAAACAATCACTGAATCGCTATTATCATTTGCTGTTTTATTTCACAATTACAGTATTCTCATTATTTGAGTTTTTGCTCAAATTACAATACTCACACATAGACATTGAAAGGAGAAAGGTTCCTGCGTGAGTTCAACAGCTGGAAAACCCCACTTCCTTCCAAGTCATTCCTTCAATTTAATGCAATAGGGTCAATTTTCCAGATGTATCGATTACTTTAACACTTGTTTCTTTTACTTTGGTATCACACAAAATGTCAAGTGACATGAAATCGATTCAAAGAAGCAGCAAATTTGAGGATTTCATGAATATACCATAAAACCACGTGAACAGAAATAAGCGTTTCAATTCATCGAGAATATGTGGTATCATTCAATGAGATCATAGCTGATCTGATAAACCTCAACACCACTTTCCTACCTTTTCCCAAAAATCCGATGCTTCTCATACTGATTAAAAATGTCTACCTCAGTTTTGGATATACTTAATGAGCCAACCTCGACAGCTCTGTGGTAAAGAATTCCACAGATTCACAACCCTCTGAGAAGAAACTCCTCCTCATATTCGTCTTAAATGTGTGCCCCCAATTCTGAAATTATGCCCTCTGGCTTTAAGATCAATAAAACGCCACACCAGCTGCATTAAATCCTTGCTGATGAGATATTTGATAACATCAACAAGTGCAGAAAGTTATAATTGGCACAGAGTACTGTGCATTGTTTCTTTTTTATTCTTCATGGGACCTGGGTGTCATTGGCAAGACCAGTGATTTGTTGCCCATCCTTAATTGCCTTCGAACTGAATAGCTTCCTGGGTCATTTCAGAGGGCGGATAAACATCAAACAGATATTGTGAATTTGAGAGTCATATGGGAACCAGATTCTGCAAAGAACATCAGTGAAACTTTTGGATGCAGAAGTTTATTTTCTTACACACCAAGTGAAGGGGGCCCAGAGCCCACTCCCACCAAGGAGACTACAATACTGATTCAGCTGACTAACAGGCGTGGTGGATATTCTGCTTTTTGGGACTCTTAATGGACTACCTAATGAATATACCTTAATACTTTAATACCTATTGCAATGTAAGGGAAGTACAAAGGGGAAGCTAAAGTTACTCAATGATTATGCTAGGAGCTGACACTAACACGCTACATATTAATCCTAAAATAAGCTACAAAACAATATATAGAATAAAAATGCAGAAGTAATATGTGACAGAGAGACTGTGGAAGAACAATGTTACATCACAAGGGTAGATGGGAATTTAGGCCAAGACAGGAAAGGCAGCCATGGGAGAAACTGAGACAACAAGGTGCAGGGCTGGATGAACACAGCAGGCCAAGCAGCATCATAGGAGCAGAGAGGCTGACGTTTCGGGCCTAGACCCTTCATCAGAAAAGGGGGAGGGGAAGGGGGTTTTGAAATAAATAGGGAGAGAGTGGGAGGCG